AGGGCACGTGTGGGGCACGAACACCGTGTATCAAGCATGCCCTGGGGTGGGGAAGAGCTTGAATACACCCTCAGCCGCACCTCGAGTGCCGTGTTCAGTTCTGGGCCCCTCACTACAAGAAAGACCTTGAGGTGCTGGAGCGAGTCCAGAGAAGGGCAACGAAGGTGGTGAAGGGTCTGGAGCACAAGTCTGATGGGGAGCGGCTGAGGGAGCTGGGGGGGTTTGGTCTGGAGAAGAGGAGGCTGAGGGGAGACCTGATCGCTCTCTGCAACGACCTGAAAGGAGGGTGTAGCCAGGTGGGGGTCGGTCTCTTCTCCCAACTAACCAGTGAGAGGACAAGGGGAAACGGCCTCAAGTTGTGCCAGGGGAGGTTTAGATTGGATATTAGGATGAATTTCTTCACCAAAAGGGTTGTCAAGCACTGGCACAGGCTGCCCAGGGAAGTGGTGGAGGCCCCATCCCTGGAGGATTTAGAAGATGTGCAGATGGGGTGCGTCTTAAGGACATGGTTTAGTGGTGGGCTTGGCAGTGCTAGGTTAATGGTTGGACTTGATCTTAAAGGTCCTTTCCAACCTAAATGATTCTATGATTCTATAATACAAATACTTGAATGTGAATATCTCCTACACAACATCCAGCTTATTACATCCCCAGGAAAGCTAGGCCCTATCACTGCTGCTTGTACACACTGACGCTTTGCCAACAAGCTCTTAACAAGCAGTCAGACTTCTACAGTTCTATGATAAACACCTATGAATAGTACTGTCATTACAAAATGACTGCTAACAGTGTTGTACCTATCAGTACACAAAATACCCTATGTTAGTATCAGACGTTTCCAGCACAAAGCCATAACCAAAGCACCTGCTGCAATAAAAAGGAAAAATTTGCTTCCATTTTTAAGTGACATCATTTAAACATATGACATTTAGAACAAATCTTCTTGAAATCATCTCTTCAGCTACTTACTGCAAAATTATATCTTTTATAGCAGCTATGTTCTTCTATCAAAACATAATATTTATGCAACATGATTTTTTTATTCTGGAATACACCTTTATATGTTTATCCTCCAAATTTTTATTATTTTTTTCTGGAACACATTTTGTACAATGAAAAACGGGACCACAAAATGTAAGGAAGACTTAAATACTGAGAGTGCTAAATCAGGGTTCTTACATTTTATCTGTGGATTATTTCCTTGGCTTCAACAGTACTCTGCTTAGCAGGGAGATGCATGTGTGCAAGACTCAGACTAAGAGTATTACTTGGAATTTTAGAAACCTGAATCAAATTTGCACACTGTTGCATTATAGTTAACTGCTACTCAGATAACCATTCTAGTGATGCTAACCCACCCACTCACACCTTAGTTCACTGGACATTAGATGGTTAAAAGATAAAACAGTGAAAGGAAGTCCTCAGCAAAACAGTTTTTCCAAAGTATGCAAGCACACACAAACAGAGCAGTGACTAGCCAGACATCCTAAGTGAAAACAACAAAACACCTGATTCAATTAGAACAAAAGAATTCCTTCTGAACACACCACAAAAATTATTTTCCCATAAATATCAACAAAATATTGTAAAAAAAATGTTGTAAACTTAACCGAAATATACGTCCTCTACATCATAACAGGTTTGGGAAGTATAGTGTGTTTTTCAAATATCAAGTAACAGAATAAAAGCAACCTTATTTCACCCTACCTGTTGCCATTTGCACTTAATTGCTGGATCTCTGATCAACTGGCAATGTCTCTGGATTTGCTGGACGACACCCTGGTAATATACCATAGAAGAGTCATAATTCCCAAGGAGTGCATATTCTTTTCCTTTTTTCACATTATCGCAAATCTCTGCTAAATTCATCTTCACCCAGAAATCTAAAAGAGAACATAACAATCAGAAAAATGATTTTTACATGCTGTGGAATAATTCAGACTGTGACACTTTAGTTTTGTTTTTTCTCTTGTAGCTGAATTGTCTTTCTGCCCCCCACTCCTGTCCAGTCCCCCTCTTTTTCAATCATTTAGCTCTGGAGTATCTATTTACTAGTCTAAGATTTCAGCTCATGAATCGTAACTTTTTTATAGTGATAAAAACCACAGCTTCTTTGCTGCCTTTGGCCCCAATCCTGATAAATTGATGCAGGAAAAGTAAATGCCCAGCCCACACTGAACCTAACAAGTCAAACTTTAATTTGTAGATCACCACAATATATTAGCAGCCATCAACCCATGAATCACAAATCACACGAGGCATTAAATTGCTTTTTATACTGTTGTATTATCTACGTGCCTAAATGTGCTAACCAGCATCAGGCAAGGCTGCACTTAGCACTTTCAAGAGCCCTCACCCTAATGAGATTATGATATGGTTGAATGACAGCTCTACTATAGACAAAGTTGAGAGCCTCATTCTGTTTAAATATTCTTTCAAAGCACTCCAACATCCACATGCTGACTTGGATCTTTTCCTTAAGTTTAACATCACTTTGAGATTTATGGCAGAGTTAGCAATCCAAATTTAAGATTTCTTGAAACAGTGATTCCCAAAGTACAACCTTCCTTAGTCCCCAAAACAGTATAAGATTTATACATTTTACTAACTTTTTTATACAACCAGTAAATCACAGCATGACTTTAAAGCAAACCCATAGTCCAATTTTTCCCAGTAATCATTCAAGAAAGCAATATTAAACCACACATTAAAAAGTAGGCTACATTGTACAGCTAGGTTTGGATTTCAGGTTCAAGATCGCAGCAGTGTCTTTATCTGAATCCCACATGACCCAAAGTCTAGGTCCCTACCACACAAAAAGAGCATCAGTTCCTTTCCCTTGTCCTCTGACTCAGAACAGGTGGGGTCCCTGACACTCCTCCAGATATAAACCTCTGGAAATCAAAAGTAAAAAATTAAGATTCATAGTTACACAATGCAGAGAGTTGCACTGCCCAAGGGGGAGGAGGCTGGCTCTGGAGGGTCGTCCGCTAACTGCATCGAGGGTTTGGCAAGTCTAAGGTGGTGAAGTGAAGATGCCCTGAAAGGAGGGTGTGGCGAGGTGGGTGTTGGTCTCTTCTCCCCAGTAACCAGCGATAGGACAAGGGGAAATGGCCTCAAGTTGCGCCAGGGGAGGTTCAGGTTGGATATTAGGATGAATACCTTCACCGGAAGAGTTGTCAAGCCCTGGAAGAGGCTGCCCAGGGAGGTGGTGGAGTCCCCATCCCTGGAGGTGTTTAAAAGCCGTGTAGATGTGGTGCTTAGGGACATGGTTCAGTGGTGGGCTTGGCCATGGTAGGTTTATGGTTGAACTCGATGATCTTAAAGGTCCTTTCCAACCTAAAAGACTCTATGATTCTAAGAAACAGGGAAGGAGAGATACAGCCAGATGGGGAGAGAGGTGGGCACGGGTCCTGGCGCAGCACACCGCTCAGGCTGCACAGCTGAAGACAGCCCGTGATACGGGGGTGGTAGCAGAGAGAAGCCAAGACAGGGAGGAACAACCTTTTACAGCCTAGGGGGTTATAAAAACGTTAGTAGTTTTTACAGAACAAACAAGACAAGATCAAGAGAGCATTAAGGAGGATGTATCTTATGCCTTTGTATTCCCTCATGCTTAGCAAAATTCAAACCTCTGACAATAAGTTAAACATATATCCACACAACCTTCACTCTGCCCTCCCTGAACACTGCCTATAGCAAACACACGCTCTGCCTCTCAACAGTGCCAAACTGATGGTCCTGACTGCTGCCTGCAGCTGCACCCCAAGTTTGGCCCAGTACCTCTTCACTCCGGCTCCCTGCAACTAAGCCATGGAAACGTGGTACCCTCACGGAAACCCACAGGCCACACAGATTCCGTGTGGGTGAAGACTCGGATGGCAAGAACATGCTGCTACCCATGGCTGGCGCTCATAGAATCACAGAATCGTTTGGGCTGGAAGGGACCTTTAGAGGTCATCTAGTCTGACCCCCCTGCGGTGAGCAGGGACATCTCCAACTGGATAAGGTTGCTCACAGCCCCGTCCAGCCTGACCTTGAATGCCTCCAGGGATGGGGCTTCCACCACCTCTCTGGGCAACCTGTGCCAGTGCTTCACCACCCTCACCGTAAAGAATTTTTTCCTTATGTCAAGTCTAAATCTACCCTCTTTTAGTTTAAAACCATTACCCCTTGTTCTGTCACAGCAGATCCTGCTAAAAAGTCTGTCCCCATCTCTCCTATAGGCCCCCTTCAGGTATTGGAAGGTCGCAATGAGGTGACCCGGAAGACTTCTCTTCTCCAGGCTGAACAACCCCAACTCTCTCAGCCTGTCTTCATAGGAGAGGTGCTCCAGCCCTCAGATCATTTTCGTTGCCCTCCTCTGGACCTTCTCCAACAGGTCCATGTCTCTCCTGTGCTGAGGGCTCCAGAGCTGGATGCAATGCGCCAGGCGGGGTCTCACCAGAGCAGAGTAGAGGGGCAGAATGACCTCCCTCAACCTGCTGGCCACGCTTCTCTTGATGCAGCCCAGGATGCGGTTGGCCTTCTGAGCTGTTGCTGACTCATGTCTAGCCTGTCATCCACCAGCACCCCCAAGTCCTTCTCCGCAGGGCTGCTCTCAATCACACCTCCACGGAGCGCAGCAAGACACATTGGGGCTTACTTGTCCTCGTGCTGTGCCGCGCGTTGCAGCTTGCAGATCGTTCCCACGGGCTGTTATAAACGTCTGGGCAGGAGCAGAACTAAGGTGGAAAGGGCGACGACCCTAATTTTGTTTTCTCTTGGTGCTGAGGAAGGGCACGATACATCGTTGGAGAGCTCTAGCTCTGTGGCAATTAAGGCCATTTAATTCTAAAATACAGAAGATGATAACTGATAGGAAGAAGTGATGTGTTTTGCATTGCACTGGAAATGGATAAAAAGATAGGAACCGAATATAGAAGCCATTCAGATCTGACAAGTCAACTTATAAATGAACGAAACACCACCTGGGGCAGGATCCATTGCCCAGTCTTCAAACACATCCAGGTTAGGATCTGCTACACAGATCCAGCTTGTCCCCGTAAGGAAAACAGTCCTCAAATCTCCGGAGGTTTTCCCCACATGTAGCAAAAAAGAGAGAGGGGGAGGGTAACCCCAATCCATCCCACTCCTACCAGTTTGATGCCAGTGCCCACAACAGATGCCCAGAGGGATCACAGGGCGACAGGAGAGCACCTGAAGAGCAGCACAGAGCAATCCCAGCCGCTCCAGCTCTGAGTCAGCTTCACCGAGGGCCCAGCTTAAATGCCTCTATGGAAATGCTCATAGGATGGGGAATAAAGAGGAGTTGGAGACCTGCAGGGCTATGACCTTTTTGGCATCATGGAGACGTGGTG